ACTATATTTTTCAGAAATGCCATCTTAAAAAAAATTCACAGGTCCACCAGCACAGAGAACTACTTTCTGTTTCACGGTGGTTAACCAACTCACCTGTCCCTGTCAATGTTACTGTCACACGCGTCTCCTACAAGATCGTTGTCAGAATCGACCTGGTTTGGATTGGGGATGCGGGGACAGTTGTCACACATGTCTCCAAGGCCATCTCCGTCAGAATCTCGCTGATCTGGATTCTTCTTCTTGGGGCAGTTGTCCAAATGATTAGGAATTCCTGCGCAGCAAGACGTTGTTTTACTGACCTGACGAGCCTCTTTTTCCGATTCAGCGCTGCTAACTTATATCAGGAACTGCTACCAATAAACTCCAATGATCACATTGAGAGCGGGTACAATTAAAAAATGCTCGTTACAGTCAGTTCAGAATAATTTACCTTCCTTTGTCCTACATATACACTGAGGATTACATAGTTATAAATCTATAAATGTATGTATCTTATCTATCAGCGTAAAAGACGAAGTAAGAGAAGAAAGGAGAAAACTGCACCACAAGAAGCTTCATAATTTATACCAATCATTCAGTATTTTTTAAGTGATAACATCAAAACAGGCAGATGTTACGTAACCGTGAATTGATCTAAAACAGAAGTTAAGGAAACTGGTTCTATGACTGAACTGGATTGAACTAGTTCAGGGTGAGGCATGATGGTGGGATTTTCATGATGAGAATACTAGACGCAAAAGAAGAAATTGAAAGATTCAACACCTGTCCACTGCTGAAGAAGAAAAGTAGAAAGGCTCCGTACGACGGCGTTAGTTACGTACCATCATCATCCATGTCGTTGTCACAAGCGTCTCCCACGCCATCCTTATCGACATCTTCCTGGTCAAAGTTGGGGATGGTCGGACAGTTGTCACAGGCGTCTCCCTGCCTATCGGCTCCATCCTGGTCTGTATCTGATTGGTCGGGGTTTGCGACCAAGGGGCAGTTGTCCTTTCGAAAAATATACAAATATATTTTGGGGTGAATGCAAAACAAGTCACTGGCCCATGTCAAGGCCACCTACCTGCATCACCAACACCCAACGATCCTGTGACAAAGCTGTCTCCATGAGCTTATATTTGTAGAAGCATGACATATTAGACTGTACGCACTCTCAGAGGAGAGCTAATTATTCACATTATCTACATAATAATTCCCATCATACAAACAGCAATTCCTTCGTTGAAGCCTGCAAGCAGCTGGACAGTTCACAAATAAGAGAAGCGCAGTGCAAATAAGAAGAGGACAACCTTATATTAACAGCAAAGTCTACTGCACATTACTTACAGGACTGTTGGATATTCCGTCGTTGTCGGCATCTGGGTCACAGATGTCTCCGACGCCATCCCTGTCGGCATCCTCCTGACCCGAGTTTGGTATCCCGACACAATTGTCCTGGAATCGACACAAAGCACAACTTCATTATAATCAACCTCTCTTCTCACCATTTCAATTGCTATCAACAAAGGTACAAGAAGATGGCGTACACAAGGAATCAGAGATGTTTCAGTGTGCGGATGGAGAAAATCAATATGGCTGCATCTCTTGATTAACTGCAACATACAAAGTAGGGGATTTATAAACTGAGTAGTCTCTCTCCTCAAAGCCACGCCAATTTATGAACCTAAACGACAAAATCGTAATCATGCCATTTGAGGTTAGGATAACACAAATCATCTCGCAGTAGGCGGCGCTGCCATCAACACAATAAAAAATTGTCAGTGGAACCACGGTTCCGGAGAATTACACGTAAATACGTCTTTACGGAAAGGAAGTTTATATATTGGATTTATTCTAAATATTTCCTTTATACATGCTTTACAATTGAGTAAAGTTTGATTAAGACATTGCTTATTCAACTTGAATTAGTTACACTTAAGATGGGTCTGTGGTAGCTGAATGTAATGTAAAGTAATGTAATGTAATGAAATGGTTCCTAGGTAACAACAATTCTGAGTAAACAGATGACGTTTCCAAGGTAACATAACAATGCAGTTAAACTTTTTCCTTTCACTTTTTCGTTCCACTTTTTGCCGAATGACACTGACCCTAAAATATAGACGTATTTACGTCAAAATAAATCAATTATGACAGGAATGAATCCCGCCAACCTTCCAAACTATTAAAGACTGAGACGTATAAAACGATAATTTAGCAACAGTATGGGTGTGAAACATGGTATTTTACCTGGAGGGAATAACATAAATGGTTCTTTGCCCTTACCTTCCTGCACTTGGCGTCAGCGCAACCCAAGTCATAGTCCGGCCAGCTGTCCAAGTCACGATCGGGCCCACAAACCTGGCCGTCTCCTGCCCAGCCAATCTTACACTGTACAGACAGACACAAAACAAACACCTGTTAAAAATCATGGGAAGTACGCAGTTTCCAGATGTGTTTGTTCTGATTTTGTTTCTATATTCAGCTTCACGTTCATCACAGCAGATACAAATCTAGCTATGCATCACGGCTGACACGCAGTCCAGGTGGCCGTGCATTTAACATTTAAAACGCGTGGTAAATGTAATGTTTTACAGAATGTCTGTGGAATGTACTCGAAATTTCCGAGCCTTACCTCACAGGAATAGCGTGGACCCTTGAGGACGCAGTGGGCGTTGCTATCACAGCGTGTACCATCGGGACAGAGCCCTGGGGAGTCGTGACATCCCATCGACTGGTTCCCGATATAACCCGTCTGGCACTCCCCACACAAATAGGAGCCCTGCAGATAAACACTTCTGTTGGAACATACAAATTACATGGACGGCTGGTATGCGGGTTATTTAATAAAGTTGCGTAAACTGCACAGATTATTAAGTGTCTAATTACATGCGAGGATGATAATGCATATTGAAACAAATGGGGAGCAGTTATAATCCATTCGAGAGTACTATTCCGGAAGGACTGTCTGAAATTATGAAACACAACATGACGGTCAGGGTTACAACTGAGGCTTCTACTGGGAACCTCCAGAAACACTACAAGTGAGTAAAATTCCACATGAATTGGATCAATCGCAGGAGTGATTAATGAATCGTATAACCTACAACACGACATATTTAAATTTTAAAACAGGACAATACAGTCTCAGAATATGACAGGCAAAGAAGAAAAGAAATTGTATGTTTACTTCACTTGTACACTTGACCTCCCTGACACAGGCATATTTCAGAGCCTGATGTACGTAACTTTTAACATATTTAAATGTAGGAGGGCAAACCTCAACATTATTGCAGATGGAGTTCTGGGCACAGCCTCCGTTTCTGCCATCATTACACTCGTCAATATCGTAACACTGCTGCCTCTTACGGTACGCCTCCTCCAGACCGATCCCTTCCACTCCGACACTGCCTGTGTATCCAGGGGGGCACGGGTCACAACGGAACCCAGGGTTCAGGTTCGTGCATCTAACCCGTGGGTCACATGGTTCTGCTAGATCACACTGCAAAGTAAAAAATATTGGTTTCATTAATAGCCACAAGTGCTCTGGTCAGTTCCTACGCTATTTTACTTCTACTGACAGAAAACTGATGTATAGATTAAAGAAGTTCACAAGGCATTACCGCAACCACAATCTATCTAAGAAACACGAAGACTGCTGAAAGCAAAAATAGCTTGTGAAAAGAAATTTACTTTTAAGTCAAGAGTAAGATTTAACCTAAGCAACTTACCTGAGGATATAAAATTTAAATATACAGCTTCCCAACTGAACTATTTAAATATTACAAGTTTCAAGGTTCCTGACCTACGGAAAGAAATGAGTGAATAAGAATGGAAAAATGATCACACCAACAGCCACATAACACGTTCTGACATCGTGAATTTTGTACAGCTTGTTCGTAAAACATCAGGAAACTGAAAGCACCATTAGGAGAGGTTTGAACCTCCACAGAAACCAGAGGGTCAAGCAATATGGCACACGTAAACATTAAAACATGCAACGAAGGTCTGGCAATGAACCCAGAGTTGATCCCACTCTATATTTCAAACCAATCACTGCAAGACAAACCTAATTCACTGACCGAAAGTAACAAAACTGTACTTCGAAGACTAGTCCGATTAAGGTATGAACCGGCCTTTCATATAATGGAAGAAATGTTGGATATCACAATGGTTATACATATATTTCATTATATTATAGAGACGTATTTACGTCAGATTCTCTGGAACTGTGGTTCCACTGTCAACTTTTTAAATTTCCTTCAGTGCGTTCTGTTAGAGGTACGTTTATTCGAACATAATTCTTCATTAAGATAGTCTTCTAGTGAATAGTAACATCCCTTGATAAGAAAGTCCTTCAATTCCTTCTTAAACTGATTGTTATTTCCTATTTGTTTTAATATAGTAGGCAGTTTGTTATAGAAGAAACAACCTGCTACTGACAGTTTACTATTATAAAGTTCTAACTTATGTACATATTTATGATAGTCATTATTATTTCTTGTGTTATATGTATGTATTTGTTTGTTTACAGTGCAGACACTTTTCTTTTGCATATAAAATGGTTTCTTGAATGTATAACGAGTATACTGTTAATATCTTTAAATGCCTAAAACTATCTCTGCATGATTCAATTGGTTTTAAACCTGCTATGTACCTTACTGCCCTTTTTTTGAAGAGTAAAAATTCGTCAAGTGTTCTCTTTATAGTATTTATACAATTCTTTGTCTCATTTCTAGCAATGTCATTGGCACCTCCCATAATTACCACATAGTCCTGAGTGCCTAATGACGAACAACCTCTTAAACAATTCTTCAATACACCTTTTATCTTAGCACTAGGCCTCACTTCACCATACACTGAGACATCAACATTGTTTTTACAGAGCGACGTAGACATCACTGTAGAACATCAGTTTATTTTTCTTTCTCAAAGCATTTACCTTTGGGCAAGTGAATGCTTTCCTTTATTGCGTGTCATTTAGTGCACTAAATTTGTTTCTCTTTGCAACTAGCAACAACTACTTTTTTACGCGTGCCACACGTATTATCTATTAAAATGTTACAGCATAATGCATACATGCACCCACTTTCTGCCATGTTTACTAATTCGGTTATTTCAACGCCCGCAACCAAACCTCATCTTCCAGGAAATGCTGTCCTGGGTGCAGCAGGTTCTCCATTTAATAAACGACATATCGAAGGACTTGGGAGAAGCTAATTTTTTCGCCATTGCGATATTCGTCATCATTCTTCTCGTTATATTGGTACGTACAAGGTCGCTCTGTCTAACTGACTGTGGTCTTATATTATTGTTCGTACTGTTAATACCACATTTCACCGCATTTTCCCAACAGCAGGCAGAGTACAAGTGGAAATGTCATTTTGCCTTTGTTCCAGATTAATTTACGACACATCAGACAGCAGTTCCAGACGATGGTGGACATATTAACAGGAGGTGTGCCTCCATTGCAAGCGAAGGCAATACAGGGAACTTCGCTCGAAGTGGTAAGTGTGGAGAGCCCTTGCTGGCTATAATGTATTCTCTGTCTAACTTTTTCGTGTAATCCCAAATTTAGTCAAAATCAGTCCACACACACACAACTCAACCAGATGTAAAACTGTTCTATATTTTTCAACTATGATATAAACAATGAATTTAATTATGATTTTTACACTAGTAACTTTATAGTGACAGAATTATGAATGTTGTTTTTCTCTGGCGCTAGGAAACCATTAGGCGAAACAGACTCACATCAATACATATAGGACATAGAAGGGCAAATCAAGGAATTGAAGAAAGACAAGGAATGGAAATGAAGCCAATAAAGGAAGACAAAGGGGAAATCAAGGAAGTTAAGAAACACAAAGAAGGGGAAATCAAGGCAATGAAGAAAGACAAAGAAGGGGAAATCAAGGCAATGAAGAAAGACAAAGAAGGGGAAATCAAGGCAATGAAGAAAGACAAAGAAGGGGAAATCAAGGCAATGAAGAAGAAGCACAGGAAATGAAGGAAGAAACAAAAAAAAAAGACGACGAAGAAATCAAGGCAAAGAGGAAAAAGCAGCCCCTCTACCATCGATGAAGAGGGGGTAAGTGTAGAGTTCTTAAAGCAGGAGTGTACATACTTTTGAATGTGCAAGCTGCTGCTCTTTCCGAGTAAAACTTAAACTTGGCGCCCAATTATATAAATAAATTATATCGTTAGCAATATATGTCAACTTGTTGAATAAATTAACATTTACGCAGATATCTTCAAATAGACGAGTGATATTTTCTTGAGGACTAGGGTATGAAGAAATTCATTACCGTAATTAAATTTCTGTATGTCATATGAACAGTTTATAACTAGCGACCATTAATTTGATATCTGATGATGCTTCTGTTCCATCAAGTCACGAATGTCCGCTCTGATACTAGAGGAGGAATCCGTTTATTCACTTTGCAAATGTCTGTCCTTAACTTTGATCTGAAATGCTTAATTTTTTTAAATAAATTGTCACATGGGAACTTCCAAATAAAGCCCTTGCACATACGCCTGCAGAGACGAGGGGCATTTTCATTTTTAGGAAGGAAGAGTTAGTAACATTTCAGAAGAGATACACTCAGAAATGTTCATTCAGTAACTTCTCTGCTTTGCAATTATTGAAAAAGATGTTTCCTTCTTTCTACCCCCCTTGAACCTAGATCTGAACTCTTCTCTGAAAGTGCCAACAGTAGGTGCATTGAAATAAAAAAGATTTAGCTCCCTCACTTAAATTTGAAGGGTGCAAATTGGATTCGCTCCGAGATAAGCCCATTGTAAAGAAAACCAGTGCTGTGAACACTGAAGTGGATTTGGATCTCTCCTCCAATATCGTAATTTTGTGACACGTAAGTGTAAATGTTATCATTCTGGTCCTAGGCTTACAACGATGATCCCAAGGTGGTCGATGACTCCAAGGTGGTTAATGACCCTAGGGTAGACGATGACCTCGAGGTGGTTGATGACCCTAGGGTAGACGATGACCCCGAGGTG